TTGGGAGGAGCCCCTGGCTCCTTTCTTTTACCAGTTCCATCTATGTGAAGATAAGTCAAAGGTCCTGCTCAACCATTGTTGGCTTCTCTTGGAAGCATGACCCTCCTATTTATAGACTGGACACTGGTTCAAGTCCATCTGGTGGGGTCTCCTTGGCCTCCTTGATCAAGAGGTCAGATGACCCACCACCTTTACAGGACGTTTTGCGAGATGCTCATAGTCCCTGGGAACTAATCGACCTAGGAGGGCAAGGAGCAAAAAGTGTCCTTTGTGTCCCTCTGACCCAATTAGTATAGATCTCAAGTTTTTAAAAAACTTAGGAAAATCGGTAGGTTTGGTTTTTCCTTAGTTACGTGTCAGAGAGCAAGGCGTATATATTGAAACTAATACCTTGTGTTTCTTACAGAGGTTCGCAAGCAGAATAAGCTCATTCAGGAAAAGAAAGCTAACCTATTAATTATGATTGCTGAAGTAAAAGGCAAAAGGCAAGAATTGGAAGTACTGACAGCAAATATCCAGGATCTTAAGGAAGAATATTCTAGGAAGAAGGAAAGTAAGTTCATAGTTACATATATATAGTAGACTGAATTACAGTGTGGTGATGGTTCACAGTCATTTCAACTTCTGCTTTATTGCTAAGATGCATGCCACCTCAGTATGTAGCTAGTCCCACATCTCTGCAGGGTGTCCATTAAGTCAGCCAAGTAGACTTGGTTTCCTTTTTTTGTGGTCATTGTTTTTCCAAAAAGGCCTTGTTCAGTTTCTGTTATAAACAGAATAATAGTCACGTGAGGGTATAATGAAGCATAATGCAAGGTGGTGTCCCTAAATAAGATTGGCTTTGAAGAAGCAAGCTGTTTTTGTTTTTTTTTTTTTGTTTGCTCCCCGCCCCCATTCCCTTTCTATTTTTGAGATAGCCTCATGTAGCCCAGGCTGGTCTTGAACTTTAGTTAAAGATTACCTTGAACTTCTGATCTTCCTGCTTCTACCTCCTGAGTGCTGGGATTGCAGGCACGCACTACCATGTCCTATCTGGTTTGAAGAATTCTTTCTAATACCTTAACACAACAAATGTTTATTGACCATAAAATAATTGCCAAGTGGCTAATGCAGTCTCACAACTGATGAAAGTACAGAGAATAAGTGGCTGGTGTGCTTGCCCCTAAAGGGGACATTTATATCATACATACCCTCCTCACAAGGCCCAGAGAACATGACAGAAGAGGGACAGGAAGAATGTAAGAGCCAGAGGCTAGAGAGAAGTACTCTCAAACAGCGTCTTCTGAACATGACATGGCAGATGCACTCATGAACTCTCTGCAGCTGTGGTTACTTGCACAACAGCTGTGGGCCTGTCAACATATTGTTGGTAAGAGAAAGGATTCATGAGGCTCCACCCCTCCCTGGGGGACTATTGACAGTAGATGTTGACTAGGGAAGGATAGCACTTGTTTCAATGGTGTAGCCACTGGTAAGTTGTCCATACTCCAATAAGTAAACTCTCACCCATGATAATGCAGGCAACACAGTTGGCTATAGTGTGTCGCACACAAATAATGTGAAAGCTGGAGGGGCACTTGTTAGGAAAAAGATTTCAGCAGGAGAAAGAGGGGTGATGAGACAGGGCAATAAGGAGTAAAGGGACTAAAATTTATTTATATGTATATGTTGTGTATGAAACTCAGGGAATAAAAGAAATAAACAATTAAAAAGTATATCTATCATGTAATATAAGAAATCTCATTGTACTGCAAAGGCTTTGTATGAAAACTTTTATATTAAAATGAATGCTGTATTTAGAAGGCCGACTTACTGACTCACAGCTTAACTCTTCAGATCTCTTGAAACAATGGTTTCAAGATTAGTTCATGGTTTTTCTTACAGAGTTCTTATCCAAGACTACATTGCGAAATTATTTTTCTCATCTGCTAGCTGTTACTTAGGGATTATTTTGTTAACTATAAAAGAAATTGTAAACTAGTATGAAATAAGACTCATTTCTCATGGGAAATAGTTATGCCTAAAGCAATACACTTTTTCTCATGAAATAGCTACTATATATGTCTATTTAACAAAACAAAAATACTATAAAGGAAATTTCTTTCTAGGCTAGCTATACAAATCCCTGGCCTGAATATTTGTATCTCAAGCAATTTTTTTCTTCCACTTTGAAAGACAGAAAAACCCCTTTCGTTAATTGGTAGATTTAGAAATGGAATAAATATAAACAGATTCATTTGCCTGGCATCCTTTTTAGTTTTTTCTAAAAAATGAAAGTGTCTTAAAATTAATTCAGAAAGCCTTAAATTGAAAATTACACTAAACATTCAACACTGTGTTTTTAAATCATAGCCATTTCCAGTGCTAACAGAGCTAATGAAGAGAGGCTGAAAAGGCTGCAGAAATCAGCAGACTTGTATAAAGAACGACTTGGACTAGAAATTAGAAAAATTCATGGTAAGTTTATTGCTGTAACTAGTATATAGATTATTGAAAGTATAGCCTAAGTAGAGTCCATGAAATATTTTAAACTAAAATAATAAGCACACTATTCCATCTTTTTAATCATCTAAATATAAGTACTGATGCTTTAACTCTTATCCAGTATTCTGATAAAAGTAATTTCAACATGATTGTCAACATGCAAATATTTTTCGTTCTTGGTTTTCACTTGCATTTGTATCATTAGCATTTTTCTAGTTCCCTTAATAAGGGTTGTTTGTTATTGGTTGTATAATTATTTGTTTTATTAACGTGACATGATCTCTTCCATCTTTTATCAATTGTTTAATATATGTATTGCTCTAAAAGTATTTGGATTACTTCAGTTTTCCAGATTTAGAAATACTACATATACTTTCTCTCTTGGGAGAATTCTTTCTCAAAGAATAATTATTAAGTTAAAGCACATGAATGTTTATGGTTTATGGCTGTTATATACATGTATTCTGATTGATGATAATATGTATTACCCCAAGATCACCTTTGGGTTAAGTCGCTGAGAGGACTCAGTGTATGTAGTGATTCTCCTTACCCATGGGGAATGCCCTTTTTTTTAATATTTACTTTTTACTTTTTGTGTGTTTGGGTGTATTGCCTGCATGTGTGTAAGTACACCCATGTTGTGCCACGGAGTTGAGAATCCCCTGGAACTGGAGTTATGGATGATTGTTAGCTACCATGTGGGTGCTGGGAATCAAGCCCAAGTCCTTTGCAAGAGCAGTCAATGCTCTTACCTTCTGAGCCATCTCTCCAGCTCAGGCAATGGTTTTTAAGACCTGCAGTAAATGCCTGAAACCAGATAGTAATGAATCCTATATTTTTTCCCCCTACACATGCTTACTTATGATCAATTTTCATCTTTTATTTATTTTTGTGTGTATATCTGTCTATCTGACAAGCACATAATAAAGGTCAGAGGACAGCTTGTGAAAGTTGGTTCCCTCATTCCACCATTCCTCAGAACCCAAGTTCTGGAGATTGAACTTGGGTTGTCAGACTTAGTAACAAGCACCCTTGTGGAGCCATCTTGCTGTCCTATTTTTTTATATTTTTAAACTTTATTGTGTGTGTACATAAGAGGTGTGGGTGGGTGGGTGTGTTTAGATCAGAGAACAACTTGTGAACTTGGTTCTCTCCTACCTTTACATGGGTTCCAGGAATCAACCTCAGGTTGTTAGGCTTGTGTGGCAAGCATATTTACATGCTGAACTGTCTCATCCCTCCACCCTTTTTTTGGTTTTGTTTTTTAGAGAGGGTCTCATGTACCCCTGTCTGGTGCCTTGAATTCATAATCCTCCTGCCTCCACCTTGTAAATGGTAAGATTATAGGCATGAATCACCACCTCATCCTTTTCACTTTAAGAAAGCCCTTCGTGGCTTCTCTTTGGCATATCCAAATTACCAGCATCAATTATCAATTAGGGTCACTAAATAAAATAAAGGTTACTTGAATACAAGCACTGCAATATGGTGACAATAGTCTGATAACTGAGACAGGTACTGAGTGCCTAGCAGGTGGGTAGTACTAGAATAAAGGGGTGGTCTACATCCTGGGCAAACAGTGGAGTGGCATGATGATGCCACACTACTCAGAACAGTGCACAGTTTAAAACTTAGCAGCTATTCTTAGAATTTTCATTTGGTATTTTTAGACCTTGGTTGACTATAGGTAATACATAGAATCTGCAGATCTTACTTATGGCCAAGATTTATCCCAACAAAAGGATATAAAACAGGCTTAGCAAAGAAAAAGACACTGCAAAATCTAGAGGAAACTGGGCACAAGTTTTTGGGTGTCTAAACTCGATGGAATCCCACCAAATGTACTTAATTCTTTGGAGCTTTCCACTGTGACAACCCATGTGAATGAAGAAGTGTGTCTGCTGAAGACTCATCGGAGGCTCTGGAAGCTTGTGTCTGGCTGTTCTTGGACTTACTGCATGTATATTTTCCTCTTGCTGAATTTGTTACAACTTTTTTGCAAGTCTTTCTAGTGAATCATCTGGGGGTTCTAAGACACACCAGGTATCACTTGGTAAACGGCATTCTCAGGCCTGCGTTGTTTATTCTGGACTTTTGATAATATTGAACTCTTAAGTAGATATTTACTGTCACCCTGGGGTACTTTTATTGTTTAGTTTTGTTTTAAAATAGCCAGTTTTTATGTTTAAAATATGTTTATGTTCAGTCTGGAACATCTTAATCATCTTTATAACCCTCTTTCCCATTGGCCCCCTCCTATAGCCCCCCCTCACTTGAATTCATACATTCTGTCATTTGTGTTAAGGCCTGTCATGTCAAGTTACTGTCCCCAGATATGCCTCAGTGCAAGTTCATCCACCGAGGCCTAGTCAGCATATCTAGAGTCCTTCCCGTTAAGGTCAGCTCTTCCTCACCCAGCAGTAATCAACTGCCAATAATTCTTCAACTAAGATTGGACCCTGTTGTCCATTTCCACAGTTTCAAGCTGGGTTTTTGTATGCTTGAGTTTGCATGGAGCTTTTGTATGCTGACACCATTTTTGTAGGTTTGTATGAGAAAGGTCCCAGGCGCCTGTAGGACTGTTTTCATATGGTCATGCACCTCCCTTCCTGGCTCTTACAATCTTTCCAACCCCTCTTCTGCAATGGTCTCTGAGCCCTGGGGTCGGGGCATGGGGGTTAATATAGGAGGTCTGTCCAAGGACCCACACTCTATAGACTCTTATTCTCTACATTTTTGCCATTTGTGACCGTTTGTGTTCCTGGCCCTCTGTTGCATGATGGAGCTTTATTGATGAGAATTGAAAGATGCATTAGTGTTCTCTTCATCCCTTGTTCTATGTTCTGGGAGCCTTAGGACTAGAGGTTGCATCCTAGATGAGCTAGTTAGACTTGGGCAATTCACAATCTGTGTGTGACCAGTTGTGGAACTCTGTAATGTGTTGAAAAAGAAACCTTTTTGATGGGTGGTGTCTGGAATACTTGTCTATAAATTTAAGGATCCATAGTTTGCACATTGTAAGAAATAACATTTGTCTAGGGATGTGACAGATTTTCTCTAAGATCTATGACCTTTCCATCTATGTGTATTTGGCTAGATTTACAGTCCTACCCATGAGTTTCCTCCCACTGAATGGGCTTTAAGTCCAATTAGGTAGCTGTTGATTACCCTCAAGATAAAAGTGCCACTACTGCACTGATGTCGTTTGCTATGCTGGTCATTGATGTAGTTTTTAGGCCTTGAAGCTGAGATTGAACCATTGATTGATGTTCTCCCTTAGCAACTTGCATTAGTGTTCTCCAGAGCTATGAGAGCTAGCCTTCAGGGGAGGTGGCTTCCAGGTCACTTCCAGCTCCATTGCTCCAAATTCTGTGTCCAAAGTATGTCTTGTCTTCAGCAAAAGGGTCTTACCTTCAAGTTCTGGGAAGCAATCAAGGGCTGTGGCAATAGCCTGTATAATTTTGGGAGTCTCTTGGACTACCCTGGCCAACAACTCAAAGGAAGGTTTCTCCTATCTGGCACTGTTTCTTGTTATATAGCCTTTAGCTGTACACATGATCTCATGTTGAGATACTGTATGTGTAAGTTTTCAGCAGGTTTTTGGACTAATACAGTTCCCTCTCGTTTTTTCATACTAGCTAGGCATTATTTATTATTTATCTCTCCCTATCTTATCTTTCCTCCATAGCCTCCCCATTTAAAGTGTTCCTGTTTTTTCCCTTGATAATTCCTTTCTGCTATGGTTCTACCTCCCTTCTTCCCAGCTCCTCCTTCCCCTTTATCTCCATAGTTCCTTGTACAGCCCTGCTCTCCTTCCCATTTAACTACCTCCATTTTTTTTTTTTTTTTACACATTTCTCCCTTAGTAACGCCTGTCTCCTACTTTGCTCCTCTCTCGGTTACTTCTTTCCCTTTACCTCCCTGGTTTCTTTCCATTTTCCTGGTTCTTGCAGTTACATCGGGCTATATAAGCACATATAAGGATTTGGTGCTAGGATCCATAAATGAGGGAGAACATACATCTTGTTTTTCTGAGTCTATTATTTCACTTAGTATAACAGTTTCTAGTTCATCCATTTACCTGCAAATTTCATTATTTCATCTTTCTTTACTGCCAAGTAGAACTCCATTGTGTAAATGTACCACATTTTCATTCTCCACTGTTCAGTTGAGGGACACTTAGGTTGCTTCCATCTCTTAACCTGATCCAGGCACTCTCAGGCAGTCTGCTAAGGTCTGTGCCTCTACTGTAGGGTAGAGAAGCCTCAGAAAATGTTTTAAGGAAGTATATTATGAAATAGCCCATTGGTCTTTCTCCTAGTTCCTAGCATACAACTTCTAAATCCTTGGAATCTCTAAAGTGATAAATATTTTATATTCTTCTGATTGATTGGTGTCAGCCTGAGGTTCAAGATGCATGGTATGTGTGCTCCAGCCTTCTGGCTTCTGGGGAGGGAGAGGGAAGAAGGGTTGGATTTGTTGATTACCAGTGGCCAGTCAATGGTTTAGTCAGTCATACCTACATAATGAAGCTTTTATGCAAATCTAAAAAGTCTAGGTTCTGGGAACCTCTGGACAGCTGAATCTGCAAAAATTTTGGAAGGTAACATGCCAGGGGAGAGCATGAAAGCTTCACTCCCTAGCACTTGTATTTTGCCTATACATCTCTTCAGTGGTACCATTTGTAGCATCCTTTATCATAAATTGGTAAGAGTAAAGTACTTCCCTGCATCTGTGAGCTTCTTAAGAGATTACTCCAACCAGAGGTATGATAGTGACAACCTGCTGCCTCTGAGTGGATGGCGTCAGAACTAAATTAAATTGGAGGGCGACAGGCTAGTGTCCACTGCCGAACTGATAGATTGCTTGGTGTAGAGGGAATACTCTCACAAATGATCATAGAATTGTTTTTTGCTAGTTGGGAGTGAGAATAAGAGAATGGAATAAGAAAAGTGCACCCCACCATGACTGCCCCATCCTTAAAGGAAGAGTAAACCCCACATTAAATCCTTGATTTTGTATGAGTATCTTACGAAGTCTTTCCCTTCCCATTACTGAAACAGGTTAAAATCTGATGTACTGACAGCTACTTCATTTTGAAGTTGAATGCAAGTTGTCTTCCAAGTGTCTGAAGATTTCCTTTTATAATTCTAAGAATTTTTCATGAGATTGCTTAATTTTTTTATGCTATAAAAAAACTAAAATATGTGTGAATTTATACTTTGTGGTAGCCAACTTGAATTTTTACCAGGCACTTATATCTTTGGGATCATTTTAAGGTGTTTTATAAAATAGACTTTAAGTCCAGGTTATTAAAAAATTGTAAAATGAATTCATTTAACAATACAGTTGTTATTATAGTAAAATATGTATAAGATTCTATTTTAAATATGTAATTCAATAAGGTTAATTATATTATAGTTGTATGATTATCACCAACCACTATGGATTTCATCTCTTTTTTTAATCACTCCCAAACAGAAATTTTGCAAGAATTTGCCATTCCTCCCTCTTTAGCTCCTAGTAGCCTTGAGTCTATTTTTTGATATTCCTCTGAATTTGTCCTATCTATTTGATAGAAGTGGAATCATAATGGTCTTTGTCTTTTGTATCCTAGCATTATGTTTTCAAGGTTTGTCCATCTGTTAATATGTATGAGAGGGTCATTCCTTTTTATGCTGGGTTTCATCACCTGTATATACTACATTGTGTTTAACCATTCATCTATTGGGGACATTGGGTTGTTTCCATTTTTTGTTACTGTGATTACTGCTATGGACATTGACATAACAGTGATCTGCTTAAGTCTGTTTTGTGTTCTTCAATTGTAGGAGTTTTTAAAAATGTATTCTGTGTATTCAAGCTTAACTAGGTGACTAATTTACAAATATTTTCTCTCGTTCTGTGATTTGTCTTCATTTTCTTTATTGTATCATTTGAAGGAAAAAAAGTTTAATGTCACTGATGTCTGGTTGCCTTTTTTCCTTGTGGTTTTTTTTTTTTTTTTTTTTTTTTTGTACTTTCGGAGTCATATCACACTACAATATTTTAAAACTAGCTTCTGAATTCTGGATTTGGAGATCCTGGTTAAGTGGATACATGTGCAAGTTTTGATTAAAGATGAGTAGAAAGCTGGTCTCCATTGAAAGTTCTAGCATTCTGAGTATTCTCATACTAACAATGTAATCTCTTTCTTCAGGTGATAAATTGCAGTTTATATTTACTAATATTGACCCGAAGCATCCTGAGAGCCCATTTATGTTTTCCCTGAGTCTAAATGAAGCAAAAGAATATGAAGGTTTGTATTCCTACCCCTTGTTTATAAGATTAGCATCCTCTGGGCTGGAGAGATGGGTCAATGCTTAAGAGGACTGGCTGCTCTTGCAGAGGACCTGGGTTCAGTTCCCAGCATGCACATGGTGGCTAACAGCTGACAACCAACTGTAACTCTTGTTCCAGGGACCCAACCCCCTCCTCTGCCCTCTGTAGGCACTGCACGCATGGTTACATACATACGTGCAGGCAAAACACATAAAATAAAAATAAATAAATCAAAAAATTAAATTAGAAAAGATTACCATCCTCAAATGTTATTTGAATCATAAAGTAAGGAAAGTAGTATTTTTGCAAGCTCCTGCTTCCTTTTTCAGTCTTGCTTGTGAGATACTGTCCTCTCCAGAGTGAGTAGGTTTACCATGGAGATATTATCTAGGTGCTCTAGTAAGAAACATCTCTTCAGGATGACACAATGCCATGGGCCTGACAGCTGAGACTGCAGATCACTGTATTTCATATGCAAGTATGAATTAGTCTTTTAGATAACTTAAAACTAAAAACTAAAACTGAATTTATCCAGCATCAGTTTTATGTAAAATAGAGTGTGGTAATTTCCCAAAAATTTAAGAAAAAAAACCTTTATAATGCAGGGTAGTTACTAGTTCTGCAGCAGGTCAAAAGCTTTTTATCTATTAAGAATATATGCAGTTGCTAATAGTGTGAACAGAAAGAAAGTGAAAGTTTGCTTCTCTTTTTCATTCTAATGCATCTATATAAATCATCCTTGATTTGTTGGAATTCATGAAAGTGGTTCCCAGAGCATTTGCATATGCTGTCACCTCGTAGCATTTATAGCTGACAGACTCTTAGGGCTGCCGTGGAGTTGGTTTTGTAATATGCCCTGATGAGTGAGTTCCTTCCTATAGGGTTTATAATTTGAGACTAATTCATCTACAGAAAGTCTCAGGATTTTCTCTTTGATAATTGTCTTCCAGTCTAATGAGCAAAATCCAAAACTTCTTACCTAGCTTTTTGTTTTCTCTAAATTGTGTACTTGTTATTAGTACATAATCTGTTTGCAATGGTTAAGTATGAACTGTCAATTTGACAGAATCTAGAATCACCAGGCATGGGCCTCTAGGAATGCCTATGGGGAATTATCTTAATTACATTAATTGAGGCATGAAGACCCTCCCACTGGTGGTACCATTCCCTGGATGCAATCCTGGACTCTATAAGTAGAGAAAGGGAGCTGAGCAGCAGCATGTTTGATGTATTGACCAGCTGCCTCAAGCTCCTGCTACTTTGACTTCCCTGCCACGATGGACCAAGTGAACTTTTTAACTGTGAGCCATAAGGCCTTTCTCCCTTAAGTTGCTTTTGACAGAATATTTTATCACAGCCACAGGAAAGGAAACTGAGGCTGATGGTGTTTGGTAGTATAAATTCTGAACCAAGTACCCTGATAAGTCTTTGGTGTGGTCCTGGTTCTAAGCAGTCTCTACCAAAGAGCCAGAATGCTAATGTGGTAGATTTCTTCCCCTTGAACAAAGATGGTAGAGGGTAGAAAGAGCTGGATTTTTGGCAGGTCTCAATAGATTAGCTCCACTTGTACCAGATGGTACAACTTACATATGAGGGCCATTGTTGTGACTGAATCTCATTTCATTAACAGATTCTAAGTACAACACATTTTCCAATGACTTCATTTCACTTGTAAAATTTTGGATATTTCTTTTCAGAATTGTTATTAAGAATTGGCATTGAAAGCTATGGAGTTTTGGGGGTTTTTTTGTTTGTTTGGTTGGTGTTTTTTGTTTTTTTTTAATCTGGTGGCAAGGAACTACAAGTAACGCCAAAGTTTTGCACAGAAAAATGATTTTAATTAAAATGTGTGGGTCTAAGCTGATGAGAAATAGCATTTTGTATCTATTTCTGTGCCCACTGAGCTCTCAATCTCTGAATACTGGGCTTAAATGTAAAAGAGATTTTTATATTTAGGGGATAACAAGGAAAGCTGTAAAAGGTAACTAGCATATAAAAGTGTATGAATTTAACGTGCAAAGCATTTCAGTAAAGTCTAATTGTCATTCAGATCACCTGAGAGCATCTCCATTAGAAATACTTTTCTCCACACAAAGCCCCTCTTTTATATTATTTTCATTTTTTCTTCTAGTATCAGATAGTGTTCCTCATCTTGAGTGCCTAGCGGAATTTCAAGAGAACGTAAGGAAGACCAACAATTTTTCAGCTTTTCTTGCCAATGTTCGGAAAGCTTTTACTGCTACAGTTTATAATTAATGTATAAACACCATGTGAAACTGTTTGTTTTCCTTTCTTATTGTATACATATATCCTAAAATAATTCTCACTCTTACCTGTCTATAATTCTTCAGTGTTTTTGTGATGTTTCTGTGTGGTTTGAAGGAAGCCAGAATATATCATCCCAAAGTACGTGTCTTTAACAGAAATGTTTTTGAACTGAAGACAGTTAAGAAAAGCTGACTCCCTCCCTGAATTTGCCTAAAAACAGGACATAAATTTGTACTCCTATATCTACAAGGAAGGACAGAAGTTAATCACTAAGGAGATCTGTTACCAATTAAGGCCAGGCACTAGAGGAATCTACAAGCCTTACGTCATTGGTTTATGTGCATAAACACGCTTGAGATGATTCCCCACCCTTGGAAGCCCAAAACTGAACTTGCTGTCTGTCTGGTCACATATCTAAAATCATATTGCTTACTATTGATGATGCCAGAGTTCTAAGCCACTGTTTTGAGTTATCTTTGTTGATGTTTTTCCTTTATTATGTTCCTTGCTTGGCATTAATAAATGTTTGGTTTGCTCTTATTAGCTAGTTTTTTTGTACTATCTCTTCCATGTATTAATTTTTTTTTTTTTGAGACAGGGCCTCCCTGTAGCCCCAGCTGTCCTGGAACTCACTGTGTAGACCAGGCTGGCCTTGAACTCACAGAGATCTGCCTGCCTCTGCCTCCGCTTCCTGAGTGCTGCGATTAAAGGCATGCACTACCACGCCTGGCCCATGTATTAATTTTTTCGAGAGATGAAGAGAAACTGCTTACTCTCTCACTGGTGTATAAATTATTTTAACTAAAATCTTAGGGGAAAGTTGATAAAGTATGCCCTTTAGGAAATAAAACAGGACTGGCTTTCCTTGGGGAAAGCTGCCTCTAAGCCTGAAGACTTGAGCCCCTTGACCACATGGTGGAAAGAGAACACTGACCCCTAGAAGTTGTCCTCTGACCTCCACATGTGTGCCATGGCATGAGTGCCTTTGCATGCATGACATGCACACACACACAACATAATTTTGAAAAGCAAAGAATTAAATATATACTTCATAAACTGTATTCTGGATTTTTTTTTAAGTATCAGGTGTGGAGTAGTTTATAAAAAGCACAGGAAAAAGCCGGGCGTGGTGGCGCACGCCTGTAGTTCCAGCACTTGGGAGGCAGAGGCAGGCCAATCTCTGTAAGTTTAAGGCCAGCCTGGTCTACATAGTTCCAGGACAGCTGGGGCTATGAGGAGACCCTGCTTCAAAAAGACAAAAAAAAGCACGGGGAATGAAACTATGCAGCCTGCACTATGTCTCAGGCTCTAAGCTTTGACTAGTATAAACTCTTAATATTAAGTTATTAAAGATTTAAAAAGTAGACTCAACTTGGGATTGGCAACTTTTAAAGAATAATTGATAAATACTGTGTCATTGTCAATAAAAATATTTTAATCAAGAGCCACCTATAGCTACAATACAAGATAATTCTTCACTTCAGAATATTTCAGCATCCTGTATGGCTGTCCAGAAGATGATTTCAACTTTCAAACTGCAAATATAAAAATTTATAGCCAATTTCCATATGGTAGTATTTATACCATTTAATTCTGATATGACATTCATTTTGTGAGTCTGTTTAATAAATAAGGGTCATATACTGGCATGTAGGATTCCATTTCTGATACTGTCCTTATAAATTTTATTGTACTTAGGTATGCTGGGCAGTTACCCAATACTATTTAGAATATCACAAGTACAACCAAAAGCCATGGAACAAAGGGTTCCATGCCTCTAGTTGCTTCTCCCTGAATAGTCTCAGGAGAAGTTCAGGTGAGTGGTCCATTTAGTGAGAAGGAAGAGGGTTGGTTCAGTTTCCTCTCCTGCCTAGGATGTGACTCAAGTCCTGCTCAGAGAAGCAGCAGAACTGTGAAGCATCCTGTGGACTGGTTAACATGTTACCACTGACTGACGTGCAGAGCAGCTTGGGAACCCCTGGTGTTGTCTGCAAAAATCAGAGGCTAACAAACTGCTCTGTAGATTAGAACATGTGGCACATCGACATGGAGATACATCTCTCTCCCCACCCCCGTGGATACCTGAGATCACAGGTAGTACTAAATGTTATGTTTTATTTTTTCCTCTGCATATATTCTTACAATAAATTACACTGTATAAGTTAAACACAGGTTAACAGCATTAACTGTTTTGGTCCTCTATGAGAATAGAAACAGACTATATAAAGGGAAAGTTCTTGGTTGGCTTACATGATTAAAGACTGGGTAGTCCATCAATATCTTTGCATACTAGAGGGGTAGATAATCCACTAACCAGTCAGAAATGAAAGCCCCAGAAAAATGATGACCAACGACATAGTTCCAGCCTAAGGCTAAAAGCTTGGAAACTCCTTAGAGAGTCACTGATGTGAGTCTGCATGGAGAGCCTGAAAGGGCTGGAATCTGATGTCCGTGGCAGTGACAGCAGTAGGTGAACTTGGTCAGGAAGAATGGAGCTTGCACTCTGGCTTACTCTTTTCTACTTTTATTCTATCCTGATCTCCAGCCTGTGATGGTGCAATCCCCCACCCCATTTAAAGCAAGTCTCACCCTTACTGCACCACATGTCAGTCATCTCTAGAAATCTCTTAACAGATGTACCTAGAGGAGTGATTTACCATCTCCAGGCATCTTTGAATCCAGTTATGTTGACAAAAAAAATAGTAATTATCCAAAGTATCTATCTGCAAACTAGAACAATGAATAATGACAAATCATTAAAGATTGCTTGAACTCAAGCACTGTACTTACTATAATAGTTGATTTGATAACCAAAAGAGCTATTACTTGACTAATGCGGGTGTTATGTACAGTGTGGATATGCTGAACAAGGTTGTTTTACCAGGTTTTGCGTGATGGCACCAGATTGTGTCATACTATCTCAACAACAACATGTAGTTTAAAACTTACAAGTTATTTCTAGAATTTCCTATTTAATATTTTCAGACAGTAGGTCTTGGTAACTGTAACTGGAAAGTGAAACCATGAATAAGAAGACTATTTAGTAGCACCGTGAGCAAACTACTTCAGGACAGACCTGCCCTTTTTTTTTTTTTTTTTTTTAACCTGTATTAGATAAACATGTAAAGTTTTGTTACCCATTGTTGATTTTTGTGGACCTAGCTTGGGAGTTCAAATTATATCAGCAGCATCTATTTCTTAAGCTGTTTCTTCTAGATTGAGGCTCCATAGAGTGGATCCCAGAAATTTCAACTTCATCCCACTCCTTAAACCAGCTCACTTGCTGATCAAAGGAATAAAGTACATGTGTTGAATTATTCTAGTTCCCTCTGTAAACCCAAGGTATAGAGGCAGGTTAACCTCAGTGACTGGGCTAAGGGTAGGGATATTATAGTTTTCCAAAAGGAAAAAGAGCTTAGATTCTTGGCATCAAAAAAATACCAGTTGATTATAATAAGTATA